TTTTTTTTCCTATTTATTTATTTAAATTTAATGTGTTAATTGTAAAATTTAATATTTTTATAAGTTTTGGACTCATTTGTATTTTTAGAAAAGTCTAAGAGTAAGATTGCAATTTATTGTGTATTTTTCTTTTGTTTTGTTTTTGTTTTATTTGAATAGAAGGGTAAAATTGTCAAAAATTGAGGAAAATGACGTTTTGCACCAAAAATGTAAAAGGTAGGGACGTTCTGCGCCAAAAAATGAAACGTAAGGATGTTTTGCACAAAACCCGTCAAAGGTAGGGACGTTTTGCGCCAATTACCCGATGAACATTCCACCCCAAATTTTTAACGTTAAGTTCAGGCCAGGAAATAAAATCTAATTTTGTAAAGTTAAACATGTGAAGTCAATGTGATGGTTTAATAGACTTCTGAGCAGTCCAATTTTGAAAATTGATTATACTTTGATTAAAAAGGGACAAAAGATAATGTATGAGATTTCTCACGCTTTTGACATAGCGGGCTTCCCACGACGAGCTATTTGCTCAGTAGAACATCAAAATCCTGATAATTGTCTCATTGTGTCTGGACTCTGAGAACTCTCAACCACATGGATAGTTCTATATACTCTCAGTGTCTTTGAGAATATATTTTGTGAAAATTGATATTATTGGAGAATTTGTAGTTAAAAATATGAAAAAACTATAAGTTCACGTGTAAAATTTTTTTTAATGAAAGAATGTGTGATTGTAACTGTGTTTTGAAAATAAAATGAATTTTAAAGAATCTATATCAAACATGGGCGAAATGTTGTGATCAATTTGTTCATTTTTAATGATTGGAGACTAACTTGCTATTTAAATATTAAATTAGGAACCAAATTGTGCAATTTGTTTTCCTTTTGAAGACTTTTTTGGAGAGATTTATTTTCTCTTGGTATTTTCCCTAATTTTAAAATTGATATGTTGTTCAATTAGGGAAGAAGAAGGTACTTATTGTTTAGAAAGTACATAAAATTATTGGGATGTCTTTTTATATTGTAGGAATTTGCCTGAGGTATCAATTTGGGAACATATAGAGTAAAATGTTTCTCCATGAAAGTGGTCGTATTGGATACAGTATTTTGGAATGTTTCTCTGTGAAGGTGGTCGCATTGGTGAGACAAGGTGGCCGGTGGTGGTGCTCTACCATGGGTGTCACCGTATGTGATGGAATTGATGGTGGTGTTGTGTGCAACCCAAGGTGTTTTGGCCAAGATTTCTCCCTCCAATAATGTTGATTGGCTCATTGGTTGACTGAAGTGTATTTGCAAGATGAGACTGTCGGTGTGGGTGGTGGTTTTCCGTTGCTGCGCTGGCATGAGGGTGGTGGAATGAGTTGAAGAAGCCGACGGGTCCATAGGGGTGAAGTGATTTTTTATTTTATTTTTTTGATTTTTCAGTAATTATTTATTTGAGACTCATTTGTGGTTTTTTGAAAAATTTTGGACCATAGTTGTAATTAGGCTTTTTTATTATTATTATTTTGTTCTTCTTTTATTTTTGTTTCATTTAAATTGGCATGTATATTCATTATTTCATAATTTTTTATTGAGGAAATGGACGATAGGGAATATTCCACATCAAATGTTTCAAACATGGACATTTTGTGCTATTTCCCAAAGGGCGGGGAATTTTCCACAATTTGGCCCATAGATACGAGATATTGTCTGCTTAGCCTTAGAAATTAAATAAATCAATCTTTAAAATAAATTATCCATGAACAATCCAAGTCTATCTTGTGAATAAAAGCTGGGACCCGACCCGGCAAATCTATGAGGTGCTATTCCACCTGTCAAAGCAGAGCAACTCCATAGCACGTGTTATTATCGAGCACGCAACATATACATACATGATACATGTATATATTAATGGATGGATAGATACAGACGCAGAAAGTCACAATTCACGAAGGAGCGAAAATCTGTGAGAAAATTGTTTGTAAATGGAGGGCGAGAAGAAGATGGTGATGGTGGCGATTGATGAGAGTGAGTGCAGTCTTTATGCACTAGAATGGACCCTTCAAAAACTTCACGATTCACTACTCAATTCAGAACTTGTGCTTTTCACAGTACAGCCCATAGTTGATTATGGGAATTTCTATGCTGCTTCTTTTGGTGTTATTTGTAAGCTCTCTTTCCTTTTTAATTTTTGTTTCATACTCCCATTTCATTGTCTTGTTGGGTTGTTGTTATTATGTCAATTACCTCCAATGTTTTCAATCTAGGCTAGATTTTATTTTATCAAACAAATTGGAAGGATTATTGCATAAAATTGTTACTGTAGGACTGAAGCTGTATTTTTGTGTGTTGCAGCACCAGAATTCTTAACAGTTATCCAGGAAAATCAAAAGAAAACTGCCACTGCTCTTTTGGATAAAGCTAAGGACATCTGCAGAGACCACGGGGTATGATACTTTATTTGTGGACATCTGCTGGTGACACTTTATCCCTAGCCTTTTTTTTTATCTATCATTTTCCCCCGCAAATGAAATGTGAGCAGCAGATTACCAATATATAAGAAGTTACTTTCTGTAAATAAAGTAATAAATATAATAGACAATTACAGAATTTGTAACTGAGAAGTATTGAAATTTATATGAACCCCTCCATAAAATTTGTGGAAAACCATTTAAAACCAAATGGCATGGCGCTAAATGGAGAGATCATTTAAGCTTACATATGAAGTGTTATTGTAATATATGTTGGATGGATATGGTGTATGGAATGACAAACAACCACCTGTATAATCTTTATCAAACTTATGCTGGAATTACGGAAGAGTAAAGGCAATGAAATTTCAAATGAATAACGCCAAATGAATGCAAAGTCGAGGCAAGTGTTGAACACTTTGTCATTAGGTCGAATTTGCCCCCGCAACGGTGCTTACGGTTTATTGCAATCAAATCTCAAGATACAACGACTTCTTCTTGTGTGAGTAGCACTTCAATACATAAGAACAACGAACCAGAGTTTGATTTATATACTCCTTAATACAAAAATGAAGAAAACAAGAATTTTATGCAATATATATGCAAAATTTGGTTAAGAGAGTAGATAATGTTATGCTATGATTGCATATCATTGGTGTGAAGAAAAGGACGTCCTAGGGATCCTATTTATAGAGTATGAGGGATTGTGGATGAAGTATTGCGAGCCACAATAGAAGCAACTCTTATTGTTGCTAGCTTGTTGCTGACTTCTTGCTCGAGCGATAAAAATGGAACCATTGTCGCCTGCCTGTCGTTGGGCTGTCGTTCGAGCGATAGGCGAGGGACGGAGATAGTCACTTTCCAACTAGTTTTTCCTCTAATTTCCTTCGAACTTTCGACTACAATTTCTCATTCATCCGGAATTGGTTTCGAGATTCCAAATATACTACGACGATCTACTCGGGGGCGAGTAGAACAAGTTGGTCTATTTATATTTGTAATTTGACCATCGGATCAAGTCCGAATATTTGCTCAAAGTTGATATCGAGTCACTTGTTCAAAGTTATACTTAACCAAAAATTTTGATTTCTTTAAACCAATTCCAATAATATAAACTTAAGCAGCAATTTTTATTCATTTTGTTATGCATTATTCTTGCTACAAAGGGCTTTATAACTAGAAGCGACCCATTTAGACCTCTATATGTTTTATTAAGGTTAAATAGTTAACATTTTTTTTGCGATGCATTTTTTTAGTCATTGTAGATCTATAGAAAGTATGATGGCGGAATGGTCGCTATTTTTATTTTGTTTGTTAAATTACACAAAAATGCTAGCTTTTGCATTTTTGCGGAACGAACCACCTCAAGCCGATAAAGACATGAAATTTCATGATAAATTTATTTATATAAATTTTGTCATTAAAGAGCCCCTGGCGTTTACCCATTTGTTATATATGGGTGGTGGTGAAGCAAGAAACCAATATTTTTTGTTTGCGTTAATACTATATTGAATCAGCACACCTAAGAGCTTGCACCGGTAAAGAGGAGAGAAATTTATTCATTTTAAATTTTGTCTTCAACAAATTAATGATAGATGCTAGTGTCTGCATTTCTTATTGTTGTGTTGTGTGCGGAAATAATGATGAACTAAATGGAATCAACAAAGAGAGAAAATACACATATGTAAGTGGTTCAACGATAGACCTACATCCACGAGAGCGAAGTGGCTATGATTTTATTATATGAAAATAATAGGATTACAACATATATATTTACTAACTCTAGTCCGCACAAGATATTAGGGGAAAACCCAAAAATACCCATGTGTCGTATCTCGCGGACGGTGCCCCACAACTTTAGCCTATTAAGTATCAATGGAAAACTAATGGTAAATGACAAGCCCCAAAAAGGACGATGCTGTTGTTCTGTTTGGTGCGTTCCACCGCGACACTGACCTATTTTTCCAATATACATGTTTTCCGCTATATATGGTCACATATTATAACAATCTTCACCTTGACAAATATTCACCCCTTGGAACTCCACCTACGAACAATAGGTTGGGACGCGTTCTCTCTAGCACTTGGAGATGTTAATCAAATCTAAACAATGCTTGAATTTATCTGTGGAAACAGACTTTGTTAACATATCTGTTGCATTCTTGTTCCGTTTAGTTCAATTTGGTGCACTTCGCTCCGCTCCACTTCGGCATTGGCCTATTTTTTCAATATACATATGTTCCACCCTATATGAATCACATATTAAACACTTATAAATGTGTTTCTTCGTATATTATGTGATAATTACCAATTAAGTTGGGCACTTTTTCTTCTACAGTTTTGTGCTGAGACAATTATTGAAGCAGGAGATCCTAAAGACGTCATATGTGAAGAAGTGGAAAAGCTAAAGATTGAATTGCTTGTGCTGGGAAGCCACAGTCGAGGGGCTTTGCATAGGTTACTATTAACTGCGATTTTTTTTTTAACTTACTGTTTTATGGGAAATTGTTTTTATCGCAAATTATGGTGCCATCTCGAAAATTACAATTACGCTGCCTACCCTTCTGTTTTTCCTTATTTTGAGTTGGTATAAAAGCTCAATTTGGATTGTGACTTAGTTTAATGCGGACAACGAAGAAACCGTAACTAGAAGCCCACTACTCGAATCTAGTCATAGTCCGTTTTATACATATTCTTAATTTACTAGGAATGAAATTTCCGAAACTTAGATCTTTTAGGATAATGATTCTCATATCTGCTTTGTGCATATTCTTTCTTCTAATAAGAACTTTTATTGCATATGTTCAAATGCATTAAAAAAATTAAGGTTGATTTGTTGGCAAGAACTGAAAATTTATGCAAATAATATCAAATAGAACGAACAGTTAGGTGGCTAGGTATGATGAATGATAACTTAGCTCTTTGATGTCTGATTTATATGCTTTCTTCGACAAACAATAAATTTCAAAAGTTTATTTCTCTTGGAATATGAAACAGGGCCTTCCTGGGAAGTGTCAGCAACTACTGTGTTCACAATGCCAAGTGCCCGGTTCTTGTTGTGAAGAAGAAAGCATGAAATAAATCGAGTTTTTATCCATTTCAGTTATCTAAGTTCAGTTGTGGGATAAGGGCATTATATTATCTTGTAAATATAATATGTTTTCTATGTACACGAATGAGTTTTGGGCCAATATATTGGATGGTGCTTGTAAAGTGTGAAATACCATTTTTTGTTTCAAATGCAATATGGTTAATTTTTTTATTAAATGCATGTTGTTTAGGTTGCATTATCATTTTTGCACACTCGGATTTTCAGAGATTTGTACAAGAACGTCTTGGACTAGACATGATAAAGAAACAGTAATTTATGCTCATTTGACACCCGTTTACAATTAGATGTGGTGTTGACTTCTAGAGTTGCAGAATGTTCCAGTCTTTCAGACAATCTTTGAATATCTAGCATGATTGTTCCTATTGGCTGTTTTAGAGCATGGCCAAACTACTAGTCATCCAAATATGCGGTTAAGCGTTGCTGCCAAACGAACTCCACCCTGAGCCAGCCGCAAATTGACCATTGGTGAACGGGTAAGGAAATAGTCATCTGAAAGTGTTTGCTTGTCATTTTATAATGATTTAGGATTCAAATAAATGAACTTATTAGCTAGTTACTACTATTATTTAAAATGTTAAAAACTTTACCTTCGAGCACTGAATCTTCATGCACACCTTTATATGCCCAATCACAGGCTGCTTTTATACCTTCTGATGCATATCTGCAGGTTGCACAAATATGATTTTGAGCATTCTTAACATTATATTTTTCAATTAATCCTACGAAATTTCAACTTTTAGCTCAGAATAATCATTATCACACACATACATATCTGGGCAAGTTGTCTTGCTGCAGGCCTCCCATGCTTTTGCTTGTTTAGCCCATACTGTCTGCCAAGCATCATGAGAAGATGAAAGGTCATGGTTCGATACAAAACATTGGGGTCACAATGAGAGTGTTCAACGTTTAAGGAAAGGGATCAAAAACAAGGTACCGTTATGTTTTTCTGGATTGCATCAATCATTTCATTTACATTGGAATCATAGAATCTTTCTTCTTCTGTCTCGATTATGCTATTGTCCCACACCTGCATTGTTGCAAGTAAGAATACAGTCTCTATATGAAGACACCTTGTTGCATGTGTTTGTTTTGTACAAAAATACTTACATGATGAAGAACTGTTTTTCTCGTGTACCAGTGGACGTCGATTGTATTTGCACCCCTATCTGAAGTAAATCCTACATGCAGAGGCTGCAAGCAGAAGTAATTCAGGAATTGTAACTAAAAAGGGGATAATTTCACAAAAACCTTATAAATCGAAACATATGACTGTGTGGACTTGACACATTATTTGAATTACCGTACCTGATGAATATCTCCCATAAAATGAGAAAGGAAGAGAAGTGCTTCTGTTAAATTATCTGTCATTATTCAAGCCATGAAACTTTTCATCAGTCCAAGAATCATATACTATTGATTAGGCACACATCAATAGCTGGGGAAATTAGGTTAAACAATAGATTTAAGAATTTGATGTCTACAGAAAGCACTAAAATCACCGAGCAATAAGTAATTCGACTCATGGCTTTGAACAGCAAAGGGGGTAACAAATCAACAAAGGATAAATAAGGCCCCAACTGACTTATTTAAGCTTGGTTATGCAAATTCTTCTTTTCATAACTGTGATTAGTTCATCACTACTATACCCGAGATTGAATTAACTAGATCCTTTCGAAAGGAGAAAATATTGAGCAAAATAATTACAAAAAAAATACACACACACACACATATTGCAGCTCAAAAAGAAGAGGATTTTGTAGATTGATTACACTGAGAAGCAGAATTTTCATTTCCATAGCTGAGAAGCTGAGTGGTGTAGTTGTTGATAGCGCCGGCTACACATCTATCTTTTATGCCATCTTCATCTTTGCAATCCCCTGCATATACATTAATTAGATGGTGTTACTATTATTGTATCTTATATAAGTTCTGAACTGTTTATCCCCAAATAGAGAAGAATAAAGGTTCTATTTTTAATGAAATACAGAGGCCAGAATAAACGCTCACTGCTGTATTGATATGTGCAGAGATTATCCGGGGTGTCGATATAATGAAGAGCGGACGACCAGTGATAATGGAACTTGACACGGTCTGCCCACGCACAAACGCTCCCCAGATCATTATCTGCATAGGCTGGCAATAAATTCTCCACAGCATTTGCTGCAGCTTTGCCCAACCTTGGCTGCAACAAAAGGAAAATTACATCAAAACATACATTCGGATATACAAACTGTTTTCAAGACTGGACAGTCGAGAACCTGAGCAATTCGACAAACAATGAGATGGCCATCGATTCCCCATCCATGAGCCACTGGAAATAGAAACAAAGCTACAAAAGCTAGTATGTGAATTCTGCAGAACTCCATTTCAGCTTCTCTGCTTCAAATTTCCAAGATTTTTGCCTATACTAAAATCCAGCATCTACATTATATATCTGTAGCCATAAAGGTGCAATAAATAGACAAATTTTAAGGCTTTTACTTTATGGGATATGGTGTGAACTAGGTGAAGAAACAAACTTGATATTCATATTTTCAAATGAGATTATGACATGTGGACAGCGACAACTGATTTTTAAGGAAGACGGCTGTGGCTGAACGCTTTGGTTAATCTTTGTTCACACGTATTTTGTATTGTTTGGGATCATTAACGTGCCTGGAAAGGAAATGAACTGGGAACGTAACGGTTCGTATGAATGATACTGTGGTCCCATGATTTAAGCCTTTATTATTTGATTTTTATATGGGAGAATCATAAACAGAATATTCGATTAATTTGTCAGCTGATTCTTGACCCTAATGACATAATTCGATTGTGCAAAGGTGAACTCCAGTTTTAGTCAATTATGTCACTCAATTTCAACTTAATGATAATTTTCACCAGTCAGTATCCTATATGGAAGTTCGAGTATTAGCAGCTCATTGTTGAATTTGTAACTTGCCATTCCGGTAAAACTATATTGCATTTACCAGAATCCCATGACGCATGATGTTAGTAAATTGTTCATGGTGACATATTTTTTTAACATTGTGCATGTTTGGGTGTACTTGATTTTTTTTAATGTTGGTGAAAAATGCGACCATGACCTATTACCAACTTATTATCTTACAAACAATAGGAACTATTGTGTGTAAGCACTTAAAAGTAATAACAAAAAAGTTCAGAGGATAAATTGTTAGAAAGATTTCTTATGTGGATAGTCAATCAAAATTAAATACATGACAGAGAAATAAAAACGAATTAGAGAGAAAAATGAATAAACGGTCATCATCGTCCAAATTCAATTCAACCACTTGATGGATCACGAAGTAAAACAAAAAAATATTGGGAGAATAAAATGAAAGTTGAGAAAATTTAGTGTTTTTTATCCTTCAGGCAAATGTGTATGGTCCCTCAAAACAACAAAAGTGGGAATGTAAATGGGACTTGAATTACTAACGTATATTTTCTAGTAGAATTGTTGACAAATCTTTAGACTTGGAGATGAAAGGCATTATGTTACAAAGACGAAGGCACGAAAAGAAGTTAAGCATGCACTTCAGTAATAAAAACTGCAGGATGCAGATAGATGCATGCAACGATTAGATGTAGAGGTAGAAGGTAATCTAAGTATTCAAGTAGCAGGCAGACGCAGAAATCAATTTTAGTTTTTGAAGCATCTAAAATCTTGCGGAATTTTCTATAGGAGATCAAATTTGGAATGCTATATAGAGAAGAGCATTTAAACGTACAAAGATATTTTAGATACGAACGACTAGTTACTCTCTTTGATGTACACTTGACTTGATCTTCACCATCTATTTTAAGTAGGTAGAGCTTATAAATAGAGGTGGTGGTTAATGATTAATGAAGCGCGGGTTACTAATTTCGAAGACACAGGTCAATAGGGGATTCTTTTTTTTTTTTTTCTTTTTTTTTAAAGTTATATTAGATTAGAAAGGTAAGTGGAAGGAATTTAATTCTGATATGTGAGAATTGGTCATAAAATTATTTCAATTTAAATGCGAGATAGGAATTGAAAATTGAGAAAATTCCATTGTATACCTCTTTTTTTATCCCTTTGCAGAGACATCCTCCTAGGCTACGGTTGGATCATTCGGAACCATAGGTTGGTTGTATACCTCCAAAAGATAATACTTACTAAAAATAACTCTTTTTATGATAAAAACATTTTAAAAACTCTTATTTTACCCGTCTAAATACAAAATAAAAGAAATTGACACATAATACTCTTCACTTTCAACCTCTAATATCATGGACTCTCACTTCAATCTCTAAGGTGCCAATCTAGAACAAGAAACAGTCACTGACTTTTCCTTTTTCTCTAATGGGCATATTGTTAAATACAGATTGTTCTCCAACCATCTTGATCTCAAAATTCAGATCTAGATGTGAAAATCCATCTTTGCCAATTTCTCACTCAATCTTACAAATTGTCTCTCTTTTCGTAGAATTTGATATATTTTTTGTCAAATAATTACCATTTTGTTCATAATTATTGATTCTAGGGTCTTATCGAGTTTTTAGGGAAAATATAGAAACATTATTAGCTGCTTGATACTAGTGTACGAATTGAAAGGTCAGAGAAGTGTGGATCATTGCCAGTAGTAAGGGAAATGTATGAATCATGTCTAGGAGGAGTTACAATATATGTATCAGGAGATTACGCTATTTAGAAGCAATTAGATATGGCAAATCCATCTCTGATGGCTTTGTCGCAAGGCGAATGATAGGGACTATGTTGAAGACAAAAAGGGGATGGTTGTCGAGGGACAAGTCTCTTTCGTTGAAGCTAAAAATAAAAATAGTGGGAGAGGTTGTTTGTTTCATTTGTTTTAATGATAATTTAAAATTGAGTTGGTATTGTATTGTCGATTTTATATTCGACAAGCGTACGGATCGTAACAAGTAATAAAGTAAACTTAAAAGTTAGGATTGTCGTTCTTACGAGTACTATTATCTAATTGTTTTTTCAATTATTCCTAACTTCACACAACAATGTAGGACTACTATCTAAACATTAGTGATGAATAGGGTCAATTACTGAAGAATAGCATCACACAACGATATAGGTAAATTTTTCCTACGTGCCACGATTAGTGTGTGCGTTTATCACTTACCACGGTATAGAGGTAGCGGTACTTGAAAGTGGATGATATATTGACCACGAGAGTTCCAAGCCTGATGGGTTGGACGGCCCCACTGATGAAGAAACAATGTCAATTGCTAATCGATGGCTCAACTACAGCCAGATTGTCAAGCACCCACTAGGGGTGATACATTCAAGTAGTGGGTGGAAGGGTTTTTCACCCCCAGAAAATTATTTTATTCTCTTTTCATATAATGTCCGAGGATTGAGACTATTTAAAAAGTACAAACGAAATTATTGCATCACCTACAATATCTTTTAGCTATATTATTTTCATTACCATTTTAATCACATAGGATTACTTTTAGGACAATCTATAATAAACAAAACAGCCTAGTATGCATTCAAGTAAACTTTTATATTGATTCTTTATTTCTACTTATCTCACCATGTCTACTACTCTATTTAAAATTATGTGAACACCAAAATCAAATCAGGGACCGTTGACAAATCCCTTAAATACAACATCGATAACATTTCTTCAAATCTTGATCGTATATTTATCGATTTCCCCCTCTATTACTCACATTTTAATTGCACATTCAAGAAGTACATTATTTAAAATATTTCTTAAAGCAAGTCGTCGTCATCATTATTATTATTATTATTCTTTTGAAAGTTGTAAATAAAAATAGGTATATATAACACGTTTTCATGATCATAAAAATTAAAAATTAATCAACTATATTTTTTTTGACATGAGAATTAGACAAAAATGTGACTTCACATGTACTTGTTAATTATGTCTAACTGTCACAAAAGTTTTAAGTAATTACTTCATCGTAACTAAAGTTATTTTTGTACTGTAATATATTTACTCAAGTTTTTAACTGTTATACTAATAGTCACTCGACAAAAAAAAGAAAAAAAAAAGAAAAAAAAGTAAGTCCTAGCATTGTTAAGTGTTTATCAGATTTTTAGTAGATTTTGATAAAAATGAATAGAATGTATAGGTAAAAATTGTTGGTCTTATGAAATATGTGGTTAGAGTTAAATTTTAACCTTAAACTAAATTTTAATCAACTTTTTAGTGGAACCAAACATGGGCTATGTTAAGTTAAACCAAATTAGGATGTTAGGAATTTGGTATTAAACACGTTCAGATGAGAAAATATAATGCAACTTTATTTAATGTCAATTTTTTTTATACTTATCAAAAGATCATTAGTATAATAGTTATAAACTTGAATGACTAACATAGCAAAACTTCATTGATTAACTAATGCTTGGTGTTGTTATTACTTATTAAAAAAAGGGATAATAATTGTAGCAGCGGTATCAAACATTTCATTTAGTAGTAGATTTTGTTCAAACCTTTTATTTGTGCCACCCACGGTATCAAATCTTTCAAAATGTCCGCAGTTGAAGTCCAAATTGATGATTTCTGTTAGTTTAACAGTTAGTTGACCAAATAATTGACTTTAACAATTATATTGACTGATTTTAAAATGTTAAAATAGTAATTTTACATTTTTTAATAATAAAATAATCAAAATCAAAAATTCATTCCACCTTCTTCTTCTCGCCCAGAACCCCCACCGAAATATGCAAATCTGAGTTTGGAACTTCGAGAATGCTTTAACAAGCTCGGGGAATGGAGTCCCTAGAAGTGAACGTGCGCTCTCCTGCAATGGCAGTGGCTCTAACGAACTCTGTCTATGCATTTAGCCCAAAAATTCATCTTGATTGACCATGGAATTAGAAACCAAAAACTTCATCTGAAACAGTTCATTTTCTTCCCACCACACACTTACCCCCACCTTTCCTCGCCCAACCAGGGGCGGAGGTAGGGGGATCCTGGGGGGACCTGGACCCCCACAATTTTTTGACAATTTTTTATTTTATTTTCTTGAAGCATTCGTACAGATATTTTAGTAAACTGATATTTATGACGAAGAAAAGAAATAGACATGAGATGTTTGTTTGTTGGATTGTTCGAGTTTAACATGTCAAATGTGCCATTTGAGCATATTTGGTATATGGTATCGAATGATAATAGTATGTCAAATGTTTCGTTTGAGTATAAATGGTAGATGATTCATATTGTCATACGAAAGTAGGAAAATGAGTTCCCTAATTTAATTCAATAATTTTCAATGGTAAATGAATAATCTATCAATAAGCAATTAAGTCAAATTCTATACCGAAACCAATTTTCTATTAATTGTATTGTTGCATTAACAATCAATAATACAATGTTAAAAGGATATATTTATGCCATTACAGTTAGATTTCTATTGATTGAGTGATCTCTCAACTAATATGGTATGATTTTGCTAAATTAAATATTAGTACTTTCTTTTATACGTTTTCTTGATTTTTTTTGTTAATAATGTACATTAATTTATATTCATTTATTTCCTTTCTCCATCAAAAAATATCAACTTCCCCAATTTTAAGAGATAATGTTTCAAAAAAAATTTTGGGGGCTCACCCCTTCAACTCTAGGACCCCCCTACTTCAACGGGCTGGCTCCGCCCCTGCACCCAACCCCAACCCCAACCAAACGAACCAAAATCCACCCACCTCCACTGTGCCGACGATTGCAATCCACCCACATACAGGTTACAACGACCGTCACAGGCGCCCGCACAAATTAGCAGCAAGAAAAGGACATTACCAGAAATTTACTTAGACATCATACAGAAAATCCCAAAGCTATTTTCAATCTCTTATCTCTTCTTCTCCTCTTTGGTCAAGATAGTCTCTTCGACGGACCATTTTAGCAGAAACTTCTTATTTTTATCGAGGAGCTCCATTTATGATCGGTTGTTAAGGTCCAAATCTCTAATCCGGTCTACGTGGATCTATATAGTTGGGCAACAGGATTCTGACGCCATGGGTTCGAGAATTCGAAGATGTTGATTTCCCAGATTTGCAGATTTAGGTTGGAGTTGGATGGGGGTAGGGTGGGGGTGGGATGGATGGAAAAGAAGGTGGAATGTGTTTTTAATTTTAATTATTTGATTATAGTTATTTTATTATTAAAAACATGTAAAATTATCATTTTAACATTTTAAAATCAGTCAATATTATTGTCAAAGTCAATTATTTGGTCAACTAATAATCAAACTAACAGAAACCATACATTTGGATTTCAGTTGCGAACATTTTGAAATGTTTGGTACCGTTTGTGGCAAAATGAAAGGTTTGGTACCGTGAGTGGTATAAATGGAAAGTTTGGGCAAAGTCTGTTCCTAAATAAAAGGTTTGGTACCGCTGGTGCAATTATTCCTTAAAAAAATGAAGACCTTTCTTGTTTTCGCACACATGAATTGACTCTTGCCCAAGTTTCGTGGCCAATGAAGGTTTTGAATTTTGGTTTTGTTTACCTATTTATGAAGCAAGGTTAATTCCTAGGAGAAAACCTTGTGCCTAACAAGTTTGGTTTCCATAGTTGATTTTCTTATTGATTTGTTAAGGTGTTTGCTCCAATGCCGTTTTAATTCTAGCCTTATTATTTTATTTAAAATAAAATGATAAATGAAACAAAAACTTTTGATGCAGCTATTTAATTTTTTTATAGGGATGAAATATGATTACATGATCAGAGGTTGTCTCGAGTTTTTTGTTTGTTGTGTCTTGAAGAACGCTTGACAATTCTAGGACTTAAATTTGTAAATGAACTGGGGCTCAACGTTTCTTTGGTGGAAATGGACTGCCACGTTGCTGCTAAAGCTGTGAAAGAGTTTCTTCTTTTTTTGCCTCTCCAGTATAATTTATATATTTTTAACTATGATAACATATTACATAACATACAAACTGATGGAAAAATGAAAGTTTTATATACGTAAGATGTGACAAATTAAATTAATAGTTACAAAAAATAATTTGAATAGTGGTATTTTGCTAGGTGAATACCCAAATTACTACTCATCCATTATGAATAATTATGATAAACAAATACATGATGGAAATAATCATTTACAGCAATATAAGTTGCCTTAACTCAGGATTCAACGTGTTGACCTGCAACTCGGTAAAAGAAAAACTCTTTTACCTTGTCTAGTCAACAAAAACAAAGTCAGCGTCCTGCCAGGTATCGCCATCGTACTCCGCCACATTCTCCACCGGTGCCGTCAAATTTCTCACGTCACCAACGGTTAAAACACCAGTAGCGGTATCTCTCATGTAGAACTTCTCAACCCCGCCAGTGGCTGAAGACACCACCTCTGTCACAGCTGCCGCTGGCGAGCGCCATTTGGCGGATATAGCTGGAACCCGGCGTGGCATTCTCGTATCATAACCATTAAAAACTACTCTGTCACCCTTACCATTTCCCTCCTCTGTAAGAAAACATTCTGGAGACGCTACCGTCACTTCGGGGATGGTCCAATAATCCCATAGCTTTACAACATTTTTACCGGAAGTAAACTCCGATAAGGGAAGCCACTCACCACCACAGCATTGCCGCCCCCGGTTTCTCAAATTACCATTTTGCGATTGGCTTCTCAAATAAAAATTCGATCCCTTTACACAAAAGTCTTCATCAACGGCCTGTTGATCTTGAAACGATGTCGCAGGACTGCTTCCTTCTTCTTCTTGTGAAGAAACAGAAGAGCATTCATCATCATCACTAAATTCAAAGTCATTACTTTGAACAAAAGCTTGTGATGGAGAAGGTTTGAATGCATGTAAATGAATGAAAATTATCTTGATTCTCCTGATTATACTGCTAAAAGTTGCCAAAAGAGCAAGAATTAGTGCACCCCACTTGCAGAAATTGTGCGCCTGGGGAACCATTGAAAAGAAACGAGAAATCAGATATGGGTTCCGCAGGCAATTCATTGCTGTTTCAAAACCACTTATCACATTCATCTCTGTAATATCGCGCGATGAATTTGAATGAAGAAGAAGAGTTGTTTCGTAAGGGGTTATTTTCTAACCTTGGATTAGATAATGGATCCAAAGGAGAAGGGCATGAAAATAATTATAGACCTTCTAAATAGAAATTATTGTGGCATTAAATATAATTTAAAGACTTTATATTAGTCAAAAGGTTAAATTTCAATTCAAAGTTTTGAAATCAACTTCTTTTGTTCATATTTATATTTTCTTTTTCCTTTTTTTCTTTTCACTTGGCTATAATATTAACTCGACTATTGATTACCCTCCTCCCCACCTTCCCAATTAGTAATAATTAAGTCTATAAGTATTTTTTGAATTAATCTATAAATTATATCAATAATTTCTTAACAAATAGTTTCAAAGTAAAATCCTAAAACCAACTAAAAAATAATATTATGAGTGATTAAAAGGCTTTTGACGGCCTCATAGACCATGAAAGCCATGCAAGATCGAGTAATCCCATAACCAAGTAGTTGAGCAATCTTTTAAACTTGAACGATTGTACAAGGTTCAACCATCCTTGATTGTAGCTTGGTCAATCTCAACAGCTCCTCAAGGGGACTGGTCAAAGTACTACTTGGCGACAATGTCCGACCACCTCCATCAATCCTCATCACATGGGGTGGTCGAAACAATATCGACCCTCGGTAGTTCGACATATGCACTCAAAACTCTATCCAAATGTGCATGTTCTCATAATTTTTAGGCTCTGTTTTAATAATCGACTTAGCAATCAATCCAAAAAGACAATGGTCAATATCAAAAGGTCGAACCGAGGTAAAACGAAAGAATGAATAAATATGCCACAAGATTTTGACAAAACATGTTAATTTTTCAAATTAACTATACATATAGAAAAAGGTACTCATTAAACTTATTGCATTTAATTTTTATAACGTCAATTTCTAATATTGATAAAAAATGAGACAACAAATATAACCAAAAACTTGAATTGATGATTACTTAATTACGTTTATAGTATTTTACTGTGCTGTTAAAATTAAATAAGAGAATAGTACTGTACATTGAATTTAAAAACTCCTATTCAAGAAATAAAATTTTTATAATGGTCTTTAGATGTTTTTCTAATTTGATAATTTTACCAGCTTATTCCAATAATTAGTTCAGACAATTAATTTAAATAATTGCAATCTATCATCATAACCGTAGACTTTTTTTTTTTTTTTTGGACTTTGGTTAAGCAAGCTGCAAACAGCTGGACATATCTCAGATACCGGAGGGAAAAGATGAAGCAGCAGCAGCCATAAAATGATAAAATAGGTGGGCCAAATCTTGGATATACATTAGGGAAAATTACCCCAAACCCGACCTTTAAAGTTTCAATTTCAAAAATCAAATCTTAATAACATTTCTTCAATAATCAGGTGATAATTCATCTTTTAAATATTAATAATAATATTATAAAATTTAATTTAATCAACATATTTATCCCACCCCAACAGCATTCATTCTAATCCAATTCCATTTTCAAACCCTAATCATGTTTCTTTATTTTTTATCTCTCTCTTCTCTCTATCACAAACAACCATTAGTGATACCGTTGCCACTGCCGACGACGCTTACGACGTCGTCGCCATACCAACATCGCTTTGAAGCAACTAGCGTATTTGCAAAGTGATGTTGTCGTGTAATGGCGCATCTGTCTTCACCATTGTTTAGCCTTTTCTAGTAGCAGCATAAGTGGCGCTCCAATGGTCTTCGCTGTTCTGCAGAGGCGTCTATGCGGTAGTGTCCTCGTCGCTGGTATGTGATCTTTGGTGGTTGTGTAGATCTGCCTCGCCGTGTATAGCATTTGTACGATGGTGTCTTCCCCGCTGTTATGTAAGCTCTTGTGGTTGTGCATATCTGATCGGTGGACTGCGGGTGGTGGTGTCGGTGGTAATTGTAGTGGTGGGTTACGGTGGTGGTAGTGGTAGTGGTAAAGAGAGTGGTGCTAGGTGCGGGAGATAAAATGATAATTTGTGTCCATTTTTGATTGATTGTGAACAATAATTGGTTAATTTTTGATCAATTAATAATGTGTGACCTAAAAATTGTGATTATGACTCACATTTTATTAAGTTATAATCGAGTTGTAATCAATAAAAGTAATATGTGACCTATAATTTAATGTTTTGTGACTATAAAATAAGTTGTGTGACTTATAAATTTTGTGACTTGTGATCGATGAATAAATTGTGACTTTAAAATTTTTAATTTGTGATCGATGATCGAACTGTGACCTATAAAATTTTTGAATTGTGATCAAATTGCGTAGATCTGTGACATTTATATATTTATTAATAAAATATATAATTAATTAGTTTATTTATAAATAAATTTTAATGAAAACCTGATTTTTAACATTTAAAACTTCTATCCTTAATTTTGAAATTGTGATACTTAAATTCCTTATTTATGTATTGTTCCCTATACATTATACATTGCTTTCTTGGCCTTCTGTTGAGTCCCTTTTTTTTCACAATTCAAAGACCAATAGGCTAATCAAAAGAGGGAACATTACATATATATAAAAGTTGGTTGCAAAATACAATTTCAAAATTAAAAAATTAGGTTTATTATTTCAAAAATCAGATCTTAATTAAATTCTACTAATTAAATCATTAATTAAAAAATATTTTATTAATTAAATATATTAGTGTCACAGTATTATACAATTTATCATCACGGTTACATAATAGTCACAATTATAGACGTCGTAATCACAAATTACAAATTTTATAAATCACAACTTATTTCTCAATGACAAATTATCAAATTAATGGGTTGCATATTATTTCTCAGTCACAAATTCTACAAGTGACAATTTCTTAATTGAGCAGAGACTATCAAATTAATAGGTAATGTATTATTTTCCAATCACAACTCACAAATATTATGGGTCACAATGTATTTATCGGTCACGGATAATCAATGTCACATATTAATTTTTCATCACAAATTGCAGATTTTATAAGTCACCGCTTATTTCACGATTACAAATTTTCAAATTAATTGGTACACAGTTATTTCTAGTTCACAAATTGTTAAATTAATTAGTCACAACTTAGCAAATTGTGAGTCGCGATTAAAAATTTACTCGAAATTTCATATTTTTTAGATCACATATTATTTATTGGTCACAATCACCATAATTAATCACAAACACTCTTCACCCCACCCCACCTCACCCCGCCCTGCCCCCGCCCAGCCCACAACCCAAACCCAACCTCAATTCACCACCAGTACCAACGAAACACTGCACCTCACCACCACTACCACCTGCACCACTACTGCCAGCACCTGACCGCTATCGCCACTATTTGCACCACCTCCGCCAGTACCATCACCAATACCTAAAGCAACCCTAAACAGATCGGAGGAAAAAACACTACCATTTGCAAATTACAACATTGGGCGCCCAAAACCTAATACACCCCCAAATCAAAATGTCTTGCTCAAAACACACCCAAAGCAAATAGGAGAAAGTAACATTATCGCAATGTCAGCATGACAATGTAAGTAACAAAGACGTCATCGCAGTGATGCATCTGCACAAAAGGCGCTGAGCAACGTATAGTGCTCATTGTTGGGGACGCTGCTATGAACGGCAACACAATGCCTTGTTACAAAAGCCACCTTTGCTTACCTGGTGGCGATGGACGATGTGGCGGCCTTCCAATTGTGGTCGAAAGAGATAGAAGTGAGAAGTGAGATGATATTGAAAGAAGTGAAAGGATAGAGAGAGATGGATGATTAAGGTTGGGAAAGTGATGGGATAGATGGAGTGGTGGTGGGTATGTAGATCAATTTAATTTTATAATAATATTATGATTAATATTAAACATTTGAATTATTATTTGATTTTTGAATAAATAACTTTTAAACCCGTTTTTTAAGTTGGATAGTTAAAAAATGCGTGGGGTGTAATTTCCCCATCAAAAAACCCAATTACTGATCAACTAGTTCACGATTGAATTGGTAATCGATTTTTATTCTAATCAATACTTGGATTGTTTTCTAGTTTACGAATTTTGCTACTTGTAAGAGTAAACCACAATGTACAACTGTCAATGCAGTGTTGGCATCATTGCATTGACTGCTAACACTGTATTTTTTGGGAAGTGTCCAATGACATGATGTGGCATCCTGTTAAGCTGTACGTACAGATTTCATGTACATACAGTACAACTAGTTTTTTCAGTCGAATCTACTAGTCTTGTATGATTTTCAAAACATAGCTTTTAATTGCTACCTATATTTGCTCTCCGTTTTCAAATATAGATAATGACACATATAGTTTTATATTTGATGGCTAGGAATCATCCATGTGTTCTAGATTCTTTGCGCTATATAGCAAGTAAATTCCTATATGAATTAAGCTAGTTGGACACCATTTTTTTTTACGTCAAGTTTGACACTTCCTATATATAGAAAATATGGCCATTGATTGTAAAGAGTGTTGGTAAAATCAATGTATAAAAAAACTACGAATACATATGATGTCAAACTTGATGTACATGTAGCAAGATTGTTCATGTATATAGGCCTTGAAGGCCGAAGTATTTTTTTAGATTGATTCTATATAGTTTGATCTTTGAAGTTCGCAATGTTTCTTTCTCTAAAAATAAGAATGACGCTATCGTCTAGACTGCTAATGGTCGCAATGTAGGTAGACGCCAATTAAATAATAATAAACGTTTCTTTAATATAAGGATAATGGTCCATTTAAGATGTCCAATAATGTAACGACATCTAGACTACTGACAATAAGATGAATAGAATTACTCTAAAAATAAACTAATTTTTTACAATGGATAGAGAACCAAAAAGTTTTCTACGCCTCCTTTTCAAGTCTTTAGAGTATTGGAGAAGCACATTTGAAGACCCCAATTTTAAAGGTAACATCAATGGCGCCGTATGTGAAAACTTGAACGAAA